TCTCTTTATTTAGATTAGTCTGCCCCTCCCCACCCCACGTTCCTTCACTTTGCCTCTAACACTGCTATTACTTAGGAGCTCAGTGTGTAATTGTGCATGTAACATTTTGATTACAGTTACGAATGTTAATCACCAAAAAGGCAAAGCTTTTACCTCAAAGACCCAGCGCTAACTTTCTCAAAGTCATCTGTTATCAATCATTTAGTAACATTTCTTTTCATACTAAGTCTCCTCTGTAAAGCATTTGAGTAAGTGGTTCTAAAAATAGGATCTACAATGTCAACAATCTGGAGCCCCATAAACAAGCAAGATTAAATTAGCCGACTGCTGTTTCCTCTCCGAGCCTTTGCGCGTGTGCGTCTCTGTGCGCGTACCTGGAAATACAGCGGCGCACGTGTAGGTTCAGCGTATGCTTCAAATGCTAAACTTTCAAATACCAATGTCTGAATGTGCCTATAAAAACCTACATTGTTTTTATACTCGTGCTATTTTGCAAGAACATGTGTTGATACGGTGTCCAATTTTGGAGCCCGTAACTCCACGAGAAGGACCACATCCAGTCACTGACACCCCCCACCTCCCCCCGCTCCCCCACCCCCCTCTCCTACTGTAATAACACAGAGGGTACTGCCTGATGAATTTTTCTTTTTCTTTTTGCATCTCTTTTTGCTCTTTCAGCATCAACAACCTGGCCGTGGAAAAATTTAGCTGTTAAGCAATCGTGGCCAATATAACTGTCAGGCTTTGCTTCACTCCGTCTATGTTTCACCCTTTCATTCTTCCTCTCTGTCCATATCTCCCTCCTTAAAAAGGCATAGCATGAGACCATTCTGCACAGGTTGCCCTGTTCACATGCATACACACTCAGTAGTACACGTGCAAATGATCTCTATCTGGGCAAATGTCTGAACTTTGACTAGATAGCGATGCATGAACTGGCACCTGCATTTACATCACTGATATTGCAGTGCTGGTCTACCTTTATCTTTAAACATTTATTATGTTATTAATACATACAATAAAACAACACAAATATGCCCTCGTTAGATACAGGAGCTATTACTTCGTTATAAATAGTTGAGCTAAACCATCAGAGGTAATGCGATAATATTAATGCAGTGCATTTGCATCAGCAGCAACCTCGCAATTCTTCTCGTAGACTGTACACGAAAGATCAATGTAACCATCTGGATGTCACCAGTTGTTCTGTAAAGTCTCATTATGAAGGCTTAATTTGACTATTCTGGCCATCTCTATCTTCTTTTTTAAAACAGACATCACAACAGAGGGGTACATCGACAACATAGGTCCACCCTAAAAAGAACACCCCTCTTTATTGTGTATTTAACTCTAAATACAATAATATTTTACAAAATTAACAAGAGAGCTTTCTCCTGATGATGTCATAGTGATGTCATTTCAAGGTTATCTGATTTATCAGTTAAATATTAAAAAGAAAATTGAGCGTCTAAATTGCGTCATTCAAAATCAGGAATCAGTGTGTTATGAACTTATCTGAGGCATACGAAAGACGAAAGGTCAGGGTTATCTCAGCCTACTATTTCTTATTTTTATTACTGAAGGTATATTTTCATTTTGAACTTACGTGTGACAAAGAAGATTTTCATGGGAATCTATGCAGTCCTGAGAATAACCAAATAAACCTTTTACCATATGCCCTTTTAGTATCATTCACATCGTTATGGAGGAATTTTGATCCACTCTTTTTTTACAGTATTGCTTCATTTTATTGAGGTGTGCAGATGTTTGTTTATGCACAGCACTCTTAATGTCCTGCCACACCATTTGAATAAGGTTGAAGCTGACTGGTGCACACTTCAACCTTAAAAGGTGATTCTTTTCTCTTTAAGCCATACTATTGTAGATTTACTGCTGTGCTTGGAATCATTTTTCTGCTGCATGACCCAATTCCATCCAAGTTTTAGCAACCAGACAGATGGCCTGACATTAAACTCTACAATACTTTGGTATACAGACGGGTTCAAGGTTGACTCAATGACTGTAAGATGGCCAGGTCCCATGGCTGGAAACAAAGCCCAAATCATCACGCCTCCACCACTGTGCTTGACAATTGTTATGATGAGTTTTGTAAAAACCAAACACAGTATGTCAGTGCAAACATGGTGCTGTGTGTTATGGCCAAACATCTCCACTGTGGTCTTGTATGTCCATGGACATTGATCCAGAAGACTTTGAAAAGTTAATCTGTGCTGCCATGTTCTTTTTAGAGAGTAGAGGCTTTCTCCTGGCAACCCGTCAAGACAAGCCATGTTCAGTCTTTTTAAATGTTTATCTTTTTAAAACTGCAATTTTTTAAGTGAAACAAGTTGTAAGTGCTTTTTAAAAAACATCCAGAGGAATTGAGATTGACAGGTTGATGACTCATTCTTTTGCTATTTCTCTGAATTGGAAGTTCCTCTGGTGATTGGGTATTTAAAAACCATGTGTTATTGATTTCATTAAGCTGTGATGATTACACTTGTCATGATTTGAAATGAAATCATGCAAATTTCATAGTTTGGCTCTCCTCAGTATTAATCCTAAGTATACAGGTTTCTCACATGACATCATGCGCACATTGTTCAAACGCTGTCTGATGACCCCTTGGCAACCACCGGTCACTAAGCCGAAATATTGGTGAGTGGTTATTGGCTGTTGCTAGGCTGCAAAGAGGGTGCTGCACCAAAATCCTTCTTGCAATCCTTGCCTGTAGTTTGCACTGAAGTTGCTCGGTGCTGCAGCCAACATTCTTCAAAAGCCACAACTTTTATTTTGAAGGCAAGCAGTCTCCGTGTCCGGTTTGTGTCACACTTCTCACAGCCTGACTAGCACTCGGAGAGTAGTTGTCAAGTGTTCGCAGACCAGTTGGCATCTTCTGTGCAAACTACAGGCCACTGTGGCAATCTGCTACCAACCAAGGCAATCTGAAGTTGTTTTCCACATTTTTCCCTTGTGGTTGCCAGATGGTTGCCCAATGGCTTCTAACTCTTTGTGACTAGGCCCTTATCCACGTGCCCCATAAGTTAACATGTTCAACACCCCCGGTCATGTCAACCTTGGAAAGAAATTAACTAATTGCATCTTAACTAATGTTAAAAGCAAAATTCTTTCGATTCCCACTATTAAATACATGCTTACACTTCATTTCAGAGTTTTACTTCACACCCATAGGTGTTTGACACATCCCAGTAGACCAGTAACACTTTCTTGGCTCCGTAATTTTACAAACACTCCGAGGTGCAATAACTTCGGTCCAGATTGCACTAATGACTCCATACCGATGGCCTCATGTTGGCCCCAATCGGGGGGTGGAAACTGCAACTTAAACAGGCTTACAGTGATGGGAAACGCCACTCTCTGAGAACCTCAAGACATCTCGCAAAAGAAGAGAGGGAGGAAAATGCGAGTATGGACGCCTGCATGTGTGCGTGCGAGTGTGAGAAAGAAAGAAGAGGCGTGCTGCAAGAAAGTAAAACAGAGAGCGGCGCTGGAGCCGTTCCTTTTAATGGGAAATGATGGGGGAGCTGTTTGATGGCTGCGTGCTTTTGACCCTGTGACTGCTTGCAGTCGTGAGAACCAAGTCCCCGGCCATGTGTCCTTAAGCCCCTCATATCAACACACACACACACATACCGCCACATATACACACACACTTCCAATCAAATACAAGAAAAATATGCAGAAAAGGAGACTAAGTGTTTAAAGAAGCAGGAAAATTATACCTTTCCAGACAGAGTACAGGTGGACTCGTGTCAACTATGCACCCCCCCCCACACACACACACACACTTAAAAGAAGTCCCCCAAGGATGTTTTGGTAAGGATTTCATCTACTGCCTGCCCCATATTCACACTCAGTTTGACATCTATATGAAGACAAAAGCCAAAGCAGCCCAATGATGACAACAGTAGGAGGGAAAAATCTATCGACACTTCATTGCACCTTTTGTTGGAGTGATTTAATCCTCAAAGTGCTGTAAGATTTTCTTTTGCTTTCCCAGGATAAGGTGTGACTCCCACAAAGACTGAAAACACAGTAATGACCATGCAGCCAAGGGAGAAACAAAAATCCAGGTGGGGGAGGTGGACCAGAGCTATCCCTTCCCCCTGAGTTAATTACCCATGTGCCCTTGGGCCAGACTAGGAAAAAAAAGCACTTTCCAGGCTGAAATGGGCTGACTGCTTTGGTACTGTAGGGCTTTCAGTTGCAGATGTCAAACATTCCCTGTCTTTTAAAACCCATAAATCTTTTAGGTAAAGCTCCAACATCTCGCTACCTCAGGTCATGGTCGAATTTCAGATAGCATTGTGCAATTTTGGTATCGATCTGATATCAAGCAAATGCAGGGCCAGGACTGCTGATACCAATACTTTAACCTTATAAAAGCACATTCTGAATGAGTAATCAGTCGCTGTGATATTTACTTTTCACAATAATTACATAATGAAATTAGAAAACACACATCTTTTAGCTTTTCATCTTTTTTAAACTGCGTTTTTGGAAACCTTGAATTTACATTGTCTGTCTCTAAAGCACTTTGGGTCAATTTCTGTTGTTTAAATGTGCTACAGGCTACAAATAAAATATACAGTCAACACAAGAGGTTCAGATATTTTTGATAGAGCGTGTTTGAGGTATATTTTTTCATTTACGAAGTTAATATGAATATTTTCTTTTTAAATTATGCATTTAACACAAGTCAGCAGGCTACACACTAAACTTAAGAGGCTAGAAACAAAGCATCGATCCTATCACCCCCCCCCCCCCCCCCCCCCCCCGAAGCACACAGACGCTCAAGAATGCACTTCAAGGAAAGCGATGGGGTTGGAGGGCACATAACTCTCACAAATATGTATCATATGCATTCATGTAAGAAAACTGATTAGCGAGCTGAACGATAAGAGTGAGATTTCGTTTTAATCTGTTCCTTTTGGCCACCAAAAGAAAAAAAAACCTGTCACCCTGGGAAGGGAGTTTACCTCTGACTTCCACACGACGTAAGAGTGAGAGCTGGAAGGCTGCACTTTCTTCTGTAGCCACCTCCGCGGGGAAAACAGCGTGCCGGTGCTCCCTGAGGGAGCGGCACCAGCTCCCCTCACCATAAACGGTAAATCCCCGGCGGTATTCCTTTTGGCATGCTTAACCACGTCATAGTCAAAGTGGAAGTTGGAGGACGGGGAAACATCCAGAGGTATGGAAGGAGAGGAGATGGAAGGGGTTATAGGTTCCTTCAGGGTCGGGATCTTGGTGCGTAAAGCCGGCTTCACAGCCAAGCGCTCGGCGGACGCACCTGTGTCTGCGGCCGCTCCATCGCTCCCGGTGCCGCAGTGTCTGATGATGGCGGGGTCCAGGCTCCGGGTCTGGCGTAGCCTGCGTTTGGTTATGGCTTTGGAGGCAGGGGACGAGCAGGAAAAGACGCTGTTTAGAAGTCCTTGAGCGGCTGACATTGTGTTCAGAACTCACATTAGCGCACTTCGGAGAAGCTTCCCCGCGAACTTAAAAGTTCAGCGCTGCCCCATTAAAAGAGCCGGGCGGTGATGCATCTGAGTGGAGACACCGTGGACAAAGTCTTCTTTTCCTCCTCCGTGCTCTTCTGCTTATTCCTGTGCTGGAGCTGGAGCGAGAATCCTAGAAAGGTGGGGTGGGGGAGAGTGCGCTTAGGGGTGGGGTTCAGAAAATGTAAGACGAATGCCTCCTCGCTTGTTTTTATTTTTTGCTTAATAGTCAATTGAATGTTTGGTGATGGTTTAATAAATACATTGGGCTTGGCTGGTTTTCTCCACAAGATAACCAGCTGGTGAGCACTGTTCCTCCTCTACCAAAGTCCACCCTGTTACGCCCCTAGTCCAGGCGTGTAGAGACGCACATAAGGTTGGAGGAGAGAGAGACAAATACCCGCCCTGGTTCCCAAGCCAAACATCCAAAACCAGTTGTGAGTAAAAAAGGTGATTTTATTGAAGATAATGAAGCATAGCTCCAGGGTGAACTCAGGCCAAAATAATAAACAAAACCAACTAAGTCCCACCAGAAAACGAACTCAACCCTAAGAAAGAAACAGAACAAACAAATGACAATACTAACCCTAAAACTAAAACAGGAGAAAACTGTTCCAAAGAAAAAGGCGGCTCACCCCTTCCGCTTCAGCCTAAGAGTGCCTATAAGCGGCTCTCACAGATCACGCTCACACAAATACACACAGCCGTAACACACCCAGAAAAATATCATTTTAAGGTCAGTCTTAGTTAAGTTACATCACTTTTTTTTTTTAATAAAATAAAATAAGGGTAAGATGACTTTCTGTAATTATAAAGCCCATTTCCATAAGAGGTAATTAAGACAAGGACAGACAATCAGCAGCCAGGAAGGAGGTCATGCATAGAGGTAGATGTGATTTAGCTGGGGATGAGTATTAATCCCAGCTTCCTATTAATCCACCTTGCTGTCTGGGAATAATAGACCTATCAGCAAAAGGCTGCTGCGCGCTATTATTAGCCAAACAATAAGTAAGCCAGGATTAATAGACCCATTCCTTTCTTTATACACCTGTGCATGAGACATTTGTTTACACAGATGCCCAAAAAGGGGGGAGTTAAGCTGGCTGTGTGTGCACAAGGAGTGCGTGTGTGTGTGTGTGTGTGTGTGTGTGTGTGTGTGTGTGTGTGTGTGTGTGTGTGTGTGTGTGTGTGTGTGTGTGTGTGTGTGTGTGTGTAATAGAGAGAGAGAGAAAGCAGAAGCATGTGTGGCCCCGTGTGTGTGAAAGTATGGGAAAAATGAAAAGAGACAGCGGGAGTCTGGGGAGGAGGGTGTCTCCCGGCTGATAAAGGAGCTTATGAAGCTGCACAGCATGACACACAGATACACATATGCGCACACACAGATACCCACAGAACAGCGTGACATGACACTGATAACAGCTGAGATAGATTTGACCCTTCTAAAAACAGTCTGAGGGGGGAAAGAATGGGATGCGGGCTGAACAAAAACACTCCAGTCCCAATTAGAAGAAGACAGTTCATGAATCTGTTTCATGATTAGAGATTTTTTCTTCACCTTTCTCGACAATCTTTCATTCAGTCCACTACAAAGTTGGTGGGTACACTCCCAGGGATGCTGGTAAGCACACTGAATAGTCTGATGTCATTCAGATTACAGTCATTCTCACATATTGGTTAAAAGCGTTCTCTGTCACTACCGTTCCAGTACACCGACTGCTGCCTGCTCCACTCTGTGTGTAGGGGGAGGGGCACATGGCACCTTTGTGAGGACAGATAGCCATAATACTGCATTCCCGAGTCTCTCATCCCTAGGTTTAACCACTAACCCCAATCACTAAGCACAATCATAAACATTTAATTCAATCTATTTATACAGCACCAAATCACAACAGCAGTCATCTCAAGTGGATCACCTATGAGTAAGGAAGGATAATCTCCCTTTTAAGAGGAAGAAACCTCCACTGCGACCAGCTGGGGATGGAGGAAGACAGGACAAAAGACACATTGTGGAAGAGAAGACGAGTTATTATTAATAACCATATGCTCTGTCAAAAAGAAAAGTTTAAGCTGAATCTTAAAAGTAGAGAGGGTGTCCGTCTTTTAACTCCAAATTGGGAGCTGGACCCACCTGGAAGCTGAAGGCTCTGCCTCCCATTCTACTTTTAAATATCCTAGGAACCACAAGTAAGCCTGTAGTCTGAGCAAGAAGCGGTCTGTTGGAGTGATATGGTACTGTAGGGTCTTTAAGATAAGATGGACCCTGATTATTCATGTGAGGAGAAGGATTTTAAATGTGATTCTGGATTTACAAGGGAGCCAATGAAGAGAAGCTAGTATTAGGGAAATATGCTCTCTCTTTATAGTCCCTGTCTGTACTCTTGGTGCAGCATTTTGGATCAACTGAAAGCTTCTCAGGGAGTTTTCAGGAACACTTAATAATAAAGAATTACAGTAGTCATTAGTTTGTAAGATTTTTAGAGCTGAGTACAGTGAATTTATCCTTATAACTTCTTATGACATCAACTTCTGAAATGCCTTGGGGGCAACTGTCAACTGTAGCTGCAAAAACAGCAAAAATAAAAAAATCAATTTCGGGAGCTCCAAAGACTGCAATTGCTCTAGTAGCCACTTGAGGCTGTTTTCAAAAGTGAGTCAAACCCAAAGACTCCCATGCTAAAATGCATAACTTCAAAAAGCATCACCCCAGGATGTTTACAGCCTGGTACAAAAACTGTTTTGGCCTCCATGTAAATAAATATTTCGAGTTTTCTCCTATGATACTGTGGTTTACAATAACTAGAGGTGGGCGGAACAATCCAAAAATCGATAGTAAGCATACCAACATCGGTATTGGTACTGATCGACACAATCATGTTGTAAAAGTGAAACTACAAATCACATTGATTTTGTGGTCATCAGTTTTGTTAGTTGATTTATTCAGAATTAGCAAAATGACAGTGACTCATCAAATAAGTCACAACACACTTATCCTCCCTATATAAGCTGCCTACACAAAGTTAAAAGTGTCAGTATCTGGTACTGGTATCAGGTCGATACCAAAACTTTTCAATAACTACTGCAATCACACGGGTAAGGCCTAAAGTTTAGGGCCTTGGTGGCTTTGATTGGCAGGTGGGCCAACACAGGATGCTGCAGCCTGTAGGCGCTCGCTAGGCCTCAATTCCACTATTTCCAGTCAGTGACCTGGATCTCCCCACTGTGTTTTTCTTGAATTTTCTGTGTGGTATAGCCCACCCAAGAAGTTTTCTGTTGTATAGAGTGAAATTCTAGTATTTTATTTGTCTGTTGCTTAGCACTAATAATCAGATATGGGTGTCTGTGGGCTGGCTGTGTCCACTTTTATACAGAAATAAGAAGCACCTGCTCTGAACACACCCCTCATCTGCCAAATGTAACAGGAATTTATGCATCACTGAAACATTTACACCAATCTTTGACTTTTTAATGTTTTGCTGTCTTCCAGCTCTTCATCTGTGAATTAGTGAGCTCGTGTTACAAACATGTAATCCTAGAAAGCATTTGATTTGAAACTGATTTGACACATCTGTTAAAATATATCACGTGCAGTCAGGGTAAAAGGCAATGAGCGGAAATTAGCAGCGCTGCACATTGGTCGGTAATGTTCAGTGTTATATGCACGCTGTCCATATTTGGTCCACAGTAGTAGACCAGCATTGCCTGAAACCATTTTAAGCAAAATGAGTGCAGATTTAGCAGCAGAGACATGGTTTCCTGTGCCAGGGATCAGTTCACATTTCATTGTTCAAGGCTCTTAGAGAGAGATAAGCCTCAGTGAAAAGGTTACAAGGTCAGGAAAAAAAACCCTGCTGAAATATGTACCACGAGTAAATATCTGTCTAGACCTACAAATAAATCACGTTTTTAAATGATGTCTGCAGATTGATACACTAGTTAGTGTACGTAAGCGATAACACATTGGTTCAGTTAAGGGAAATTTAGCATTATTGAGACATGCAAAGTTTTCATTTAGTCTACTCTAAGTGATCTTCCAAAACTGCAAATATGAAAAACTACATGTGCTGCACCCCTGGAAGGCTGTACCATCCTCAGCTTGCTTAATTTGTACTTAAAAGTACATTTAACCTTAGCAAATTGTCCATAATATAGCTGTGCTTTTTATATGCTACGTGGTTTTAGTCTGTTCAGAACTTAATTAATACATGGATGGCTTTCATCTTTGAGATCTCATCCGTGGGATTTTTTTCATAATGAAAAATCCTACTTTCTCTCCGTGCCCTCGAGCATGGGTGCGGGACTTAGCCTCAACTCAATTAGTTCAAACCAATGACATTTTTTGTATTGGACCAATACCAAGTAACTATAGGGCCAATGTTGCATACCAATACCAAAGCAATATTAATACTTTTAACATGTAAAGGTAGGTTATGTAGGGGAAAGCAGTGCATCATTATTTATGAGATGATCGAAATTAATTTGTAAATTCTGAACACTAAATCACTGTATGTTTTTACTTTTCACAATAATAGGTTAATATAATAAAACACACCTTTTACCTTTTCAAGTAGTTGGACGCTGTTTTTTTTACAACAAAAAACCCCAACATTTATTTCATATAATTCAGTGGGCCACATACTGAACTTAGCAGATAGAAACAAAGTATTGAGTTGCGCTAGCATCGATCTGATATCAGTACCAGCCTCGAGATCCGATGCTATTTGGATCCGCCCACACCTGCTTGTCCACACCTGGATTAATGGGAGACAGCTCAGGTCGAGTTCAGGTGTTTTCGTTTGGATTTCTACAGCATGTGTATCTTATGTGTAGCATTTTTAGTTCCTGAAGTCGATTGTACATTGGAGGAATTATTCAAGTGAGTGATATTTGTTTCAGGTATTGCCTTTGTTTTTCATTTGCTTTAAAGCCTCCCAATCATGTGTATCAGTCAGCTGAGTGGGCACCCTATAAAAAGGCATTTAAGTTAATACATTGTACCCTATTTCCTTAAACTGCTGTGCTAATCCTGAAGCTTTCTGAGGGATGCAGCTACAACAACGCCATTCTTTTACACTAACAAAGTCCGTTTCGTTGGGATTTTTTTTTTAAAGTTCAAATACTGACATCTTCTGGTGAATCTTTGAAACTACACCATCTGTACGGTGTCCCCGAAAGCTCATTTCAAAAGCTCATTGCGCTTTTAAATGCTGCCTTCACTGTGATTGTAGTTACAAGGCTGCGGCAATTCACGTGCAAGAGCCATAGTTTCCAGCTT